TCGTTACAAATGGCCACTTCGACCTGGTATCCTTTCCTTGTTAGGACTTGGATCCTCGTAAATTCCGGCGTGCGCCCGTGGCGCTATTTTATATGTGTGGTATCGCTGATTTTCATGCTTTCTTGTCTCACAATCAGAGTCTGCTTCTCTCTCCTCACGCCCATTATCTCGTATCTCACTTTCTACCTCTAGAATACTCTCCAGTCTAAGAAAAAGGCTGGAATTTTCTGAATTCCGACGGTTCCTCTTCTTTTCCTTCACTTTTAGCTCTCCTCGCATATCTATTTCATAGTCAAGTGAAACCACATTAGCTCGATCATGAGGTTGCCTAAATTTGCCTCAAGGAGGGAGTCAAGGCTCTAATTCTATGCAGTAACGACCACTCGTCATGCTACATCTGGTTTTCCTGTGATATCCACAATAACTCTTCTTTTGAGAATCTTGCGTGATTAGACAATATATCTGACTGCTTTCTGGAATTGAGTTCTATCTTAAAACCGTCCCCACTTACACATTACATTACATTACATTGAATTTAAGAAGGTAAAGTGTTCAAATAATTCAGCGCAGGAAAGATGCAATCAGAAGTAAAACCTAGTCTACGAGGATGAACGGGTAAATCACCACGCGCCAAGCACCCCACTTTTCTTTGTATTCGAAACTGCTTCTAAAGGCAGTTAGGTATTCAAAATGACATCCAGAGCGATAAGTAGTATAGGTCAACGTTTCTCTTCCCTCAGGAGGTTATGTAGCAATCAAGCGTTTTAGGTAAGAAGGAGCGCCTGTGTACATAGCTACTCAGGTTACAATACGGGATTCCTAAAAAAGATGGATGTTGCAGTCGGCCACTTTACACGAGTGAGCGGTGAAGAGCAACGCCACCTTCTTTGAAAATGAATCACTGAATCCTTCTGGACTGTTACCTGGGTTAGTACATCCCAGAAAGGCAAAATACCATAGATTCTGAATTCCGCGTAGTACTTTTTGTGCAGATAACTTTGCAGGAAGTGATAGCCATTAAAGGGCAAAAGCTCCCATGCCCAAAACAAATTGCCCAAGTTGCCCAGACGTGAACTTTCTGATGAGGTGAACTTGAAGAATGGCTCTAGTGGCTCTTTTTTGAATAAACAGATATTTGTGGAATCGTGGGTTTCAAAAGTGCCTCTCGCTTAGCGCAAACGTTAAACCTGTGCGAGGCATGTCCTCTGATTTCGCTGACTAGGGAAGGATGAAGGGTCGAAGTGGCCATATGAAATGAGACAAGTATCATGGTATGTGGTTTCGGACGCTGATCTCGAATCTTCTTCCCAAATCTGCCAAACGATTCGCTGAACGGAGTTACGGAGGTTTTTTGTTCCCTCACACAGTTTAACACAGTGAGAAATCGGCCTCAGCAGCAGCGGCTTGTGAACGAAGCAGTGAGCCTCCGATCGGTGCTGGTGGCCTAGTGGTTAAGGTGGTGGGCTTGGGATTTCGGGGTCAGTGGTTCGGATCCGCCGCGTGTTTTCCTTTTGCATTTTTGTGACTGACTATTTGGCAGTAGTGAAACATGATTCCTTCATCATTGGTCAGCCCTACTTGCTTTTGGATGAGTTTGAGGTCGATAACTTCGAAATTTTTCCTAACTTGCATGCCACTACATAAGGTTAAGGCGCGCCAGTATACGGAGCGCGCGCTTCAGCCGTTTTTGAGTGAACGAATGTGAGATCTGTGTTCAGTAGTCCAATAACTCCTGGGGCCAATTTCTAGAAAAATTCGAGATTTTGAATTAACTTCAAAAAAAGTGGGCGAGTCACTCATTGATGCTACATATCCATAGCCGGTAGTTCCAGGGTTGACCTATTTTGGACGACGGCGACCCTTTAAATTTGAAAATAATAAAATGTGGGTGTTGAAATCATGCGAACAGAAAACCAGACACTGCTTTACACTCTTCAGAAACCAAAAAAACTTATATCGTCTCAAGGCTATATAGGCTTCGATGATAGGCTGATGGATGAATGGATAGATACCCAGCTTATTTCGAAATTTGGTCGAAATCTCAAATTTGGCTACAAACTTGTCCCTAGGGGTATTTTAATCTCCGGAACACGAATATCACACTTGTTTGCTGCAAAAACGTCTGCCAAGAGCTCTGTGAGCTTCATGTGGAGTCTTTAGTAAGTACCCCCGAAACCGATTAGAAACTCCTCGCAAAGTCTTTGCACGGGTAACTACAGGCAATCGTTGATCGAGTTAGGTTGTTGAGAGCCTTTTTCAATCATTTTGCAACAAATGCAAGAAAGAG